TATAAATAAATAATATAACAATAATATAATGAAATAAGTAGCATGTAAAAATTAATAAGTTAAGACTCTTGAGATGTTTAAAATCAACAATCCGAAGTTTAACCGGTCAGTGAGAGCTTGCACCGAATGTTCGTGCAAAAGATATATTATTTTAACAATTAATAAAGACTTAAGGCTCGTGAAATTTAAACCAATGAGTGAATATAAGGCCTTACGAGCCGTTCTCAAAATGTTGAGCGAGAACTTATACATGTATATATATATGTATACACATGTAACGAATTTACTTGTAAATTTTTACAAGTGAGTTTTTCGAATTGAATTCTCAATTCTTAAAATCATACGGGATGCTAGATTTGCATCTCACATATGAAAGACCCCGGATACCCCCCTAACTAATTATTAAAATATTGCGAAAAAAACTCCTAAGCCGGAGATTCCAGGTTCGACTCCTGGCCGAGGAGTTTTTTTCGCAATATTTTAATAATTAGTTAGGGGGGTATCCGGGGTCTTTCATATGTGAGATGCAAATCTAGCATCCCGTATNATTTTAAGAATTGAGAATTCAATTCGAAAAACTCACTTGTAAAAATTTACAAGTAAATTCGTTACATGTGTATACATATATATATACATGTATAAGTTCTCGCTCAACATTTTGAGAACGGCTCGTAAGGCCTTATATTCACTCATTGGTTTATATTATTTTATTTATTTATTAAACTTAATCCTTGCCTTTCGGCTTTGGATGACTTCCGGTTGCTTTACACTTTACATTTCTTACATTTTATCTATTTACATTTTTTACCTCTTTACATTTTAATCTTTACCCGAAATAACTTTCATTTTCATTTTCATTTTAGTCTATTAACATTTTAACATTTTAACACCTATAACACATATAAAACAGATAATATAATATATTCTATTATAATATATGACACCTTTTAGTATCGTAATATAGTACTAATTAATTTCTCGTAATACTGCTAATTATCACTGTTCTTATTCCTATTCCTATTCCTAATATTGCTTTTCCCCTTTCTCATTACTCTCGCGCGAAAGATATATATATATGTATAAAATAGCAAATAAATTTCAGGGCGAAAAAAATTGTTGGAATTGCGGAAAAACCACGATCGCCAGATTTATCGCCACTCGATTACTTTTTACAAAGTCATCTAAAAAGCACAGTATATAAAACAAAATGTGTTTACCGTCGATTATCTTTCAGGTTTCCAAATGCCTGATTTTGATTTGGTTGGGTCTTTGCTTTTTTGCTGGCTGGATCCACGACCATTTTGCCTTAGTTGGCTGGATTCACGACTGAATAGATACACGGAAAAAAAATGATGTTTTTGCCATTTTTTTTCTGTGTATAAATATCAGCAAAAATCGACGTCACCTAAACAGGAAGTGTAGTGTCGGTCCCCAGGGATCGACGTAGCACTTGACGTGTTAAAAGAAAACGAAATAGCAGAGAGTGAGAACAATCAATAATCCATAATTATTTCATCCACATACTATCTACCGCGGAAAAGAGAGGGGCTCTACAGTAAGTAATTTATAAGAAAACTCTTAATGGAAAATGTCCAGAAAGGAATCACGACACTCGAAATTTCGAGTTACGACCACAAAGAAGAAGAAAACGAATCAAGAAGCAAAAATTTTCATCGTTCGATTTTTCCAAACCAACGTCAGTACTGTGTATATATATCACATCAAGTTATCTCTCCAGTCTCATAGGGAATAAAGAAATAAAAAGAACAATTTGCATCACAGACAACCGTATTATATTGCTTTCCCAATATGTTCTTAAGAGGTAAGCAATAAAATTTGTCAATCTCTCTCGAAATGTATAGACCCACATTACGAGTTTTAAATTGCAAAATGGAAACGTTAATTCATCTGGTCAATTTATAACGAAATGATTCTCAAGGACGTCGCGATCTCTGAACGATCCAGAAATTCATGTACGAAAAGAAATTGCGTAAACACATGTATTGAGATCAGTGGATTTCTCCACTGGTGGAGATTCTTGCCCAACTTCTCGCATATATCAGCCGCGTTGAAGAAAATAACAAGATTCGTCTCTCAAACGACCGCTCGCTGACGCTCACTCATTTAAGACTCACTGGCATTTTCCTGTAACCGGCACGTATTGCGTATCACGTCGACCAACAGTCGCACCGCCTGTATCTCCGTGTAATTTCCGATCATCGTCGAACGGAAATATGACGCGGTAACGATTACGGGATAACACACGTCTAATAGAAGAAACCTTCTCTCCGCGCGCGTTACTCGCCTCCCATGCGTATTTGCGGTGCGACAGCATCGATCTCGAACCGATGCGGTGTGCGCGACTTCCTCCCGACGCTGCCAGAGGTGACTTTACTTTTTCCAAGTTTATCATCGTCGTCGATAATGTCGTGTCAAAATGTGCAAAACACTCGTCGATTCGTCGTGTAGTTATTTATTTCGCAGCGCGCTTTCCTCGAAAGATGAGCGACGAGAAACGCAATCACAACGCAGAAAGGATTTGGATCCCGACAAAAATTGATTTCGCGTTGATCAAGTCTCGCTCGCCGTTCCCCACGCGCTAGCCAGGATTACGAGCTCAGCCGATAATTAATCACAGTGTAGTCGAGCGACAGAGCGATTATAGTATGATGCGGCGCAATGGTAATATTCAAAATCTGCTTGTCGTTGTGCACAACAACAGAATTCCGACTATATTTGCCTGGGATTAAGTGCTGCTCGGTTAGCTTGGGACAGCGGCTCGGAACGATAGCGGTAACGGACCGGTTATTCCAAACCATCGGTCCCGATGATAGTCGCGGATAAATAGCTCTGGGTTATATTTTGGATAAAAATTAAAACTATTGTTAATTATTATAAAATATATAATATACATTGTTTTTTCATAGTAACTAACAGTTTCACGCGTTTTATCTAAAGTATACAATAACACTCTAGTAAGCAAATTAGTAAATAGTAAAAACCTAATAAACAGTAAACCGAAAAAACTAGTAAATAGTATATCAAAAAAACTAGTAGATATAGAAAATAGAAATATAAAACAACCGGTAGACAAAAGTGGCCGTTACGAGAAACTGGGGTCAAAAATGTTAAACAAGTGTAAAACAAAGTTTCATGGCCACGACAGATTTATTCGGATTTATTTCGCATTTCACTGATCTGAACGCAAAGTTTATATTCTCGAGAATGACAAATCAAATAAAATTATTTTCTATTTTTGTTGATCGAATGTTCAACAAAATACGAGGTTACGCCGAAAAAATTGTGTTTTTTTTCCTTTTTGTTCGACAGCCGGATAATCGCGTCCGGTTTCTATAAACACGTATTTATAATCTCTAATTAACTTGACTCATAATTTCAGCCTTTTGATTTCTGCGCGCGCTATATCATGAAAGAACGTTACGTCTGATCGACGCTCGTTTAAAAGTTTAAGCTGGATGATTCCGTATCAGCGGAAATCCTGCCAGTCATGAACGATGAAGAGATTAAAATGGTTTTATCACGTGCTTCACTGACGATCGGTTTATTAATCAATTGAATCCCGCGAGACCGCGCCCGGTTAATTAGAAAATCACTGCGTATACGCGAGAGCGCGTCCCATTTTTTTCTCTCCCTCGCACGACAATTCCCTCTCCGCGTCCTGAGAAAAAGATCAGACATCCGTCGGGAGAAGCTGGAAGAGAGGGAATCGTTGACATGATATTTATTTACGACGAACGGTAAACGCGCGCACAACTACGAGTATTACTTCCAGATGAGTTTCGCAATAACGAACCGTCATTCGCTACGCAAAAGCTACACCCGGGGCTCACCCGGGTTTGCGAGAGTGCGCGATATTGATATCCGGACAAATATATTTTCCCAGCATCCAAGTAACTCTATCAAAGTTTACTTAGTGACTCGCGCGCGCGTCGCAGAGTTGGTCCTTTCTCGCCGACCGTTCCGTGACGCAGCGAATTATATGAATCTTAATAATATTTATTTTTTATTTTAAACAGCACATAATTGTAAATTAACACATTAATCTTATTTTGCGCATTTACGTTTATAAAGAAATCTAATATTTTGTTATATTATATTTGTAGAATTTGATAAAGACCTAAACTGAAGGTCGAAACGTTATTATGTTTCATTTATATACAATGAATCAATAATATTTCCATCACATATCGCACAACAACACCCGTGTTTTTAGTTCCAACTGCCTGTCACGTTTGAAATTTATTTTTTATGTTTTTTAAGAATATTTGTAGAAACTGCAAAGTGTTTTTTTTTTTATATGAAAGCTAGTGGAAACTAATCATATTTTTTTTCACACAATAGTGTTAACTTTTATAACACTTAGTGTTGTATGAAATATCGTAACAAGACAACTTTGCAAAAAAAAAACCAAGAAATCTCCGCCCTTCGTGAGAAAATGCATAGAACAAACTTTGGAGACATCGCGCGCGTTAATTATGTTTTAATGATCTCGCTGAAATTTGTAAAAAGCAACAGAGAATACGACTCGAATGTAAATATCAAGGCCGAGATGTATTTAAATCTCATCCAACCGAATCTGTCACTTTCTATTTTGTCGTCAGAAGAAGTTCGGCAAAGCAGGCGCGCGCAGACACCCTAAACAGTAGCTGCGGCCGAACGGTATATTTTTTGTACGTACCTATATACCTCTTGACAGATACGTCTTTTTGAGATGATCTCTCTCAACACACTCGAGTAAGAAAAAAAGATAACACTTTTGTAAATACCTTTTCATTTGCTCTAGTTTTTCCAACCAGCGTCCTTCGTCGAATTTTCCCCGTCCGTAGCAGACGCGAGAATCGAAGGTAAAGAGTCTGACCGGAATAAATACACACGCTTCGGGAATAAACTTTCTACAATTTTCACGCGTGTCTTTTTTGCCGAGATTTTGTGGGTCAGTATTACTTCGACCGCACGCGCGTTTCGAAACTTGAAAGCTAAAATAGTCGTCGAAGAGTTTAAACGAACGAATAAATGACTAATTTTTTTAACAGTTGTTAAAAAAAAAAAGAAAGATTATCAACGTCACATTTTAATTGAGTGAGTGTCGTTCCCGCGAAACTTCGTGCGAACACTTTTCGTCGTGCGTTGTGATTATATATTGATTGAAATTTTGAGCAAGCACGTGGTACTATTTTGTTATTATTTTTTATCATTATTTGTTATTATTTATTATTACAACATTTCGCCGAAAGAAGCAACTCGGAGATTCTTGTAAGATCGCGCGCAATTACACGCGGTGTTTATTAAATATGCGACAGTAAGTTTTATCGGAGATAATTAGCACGTATTTGTTTATGTCGTATTTGACAAAACTACACAGATCGCGCTTCGAGATTAACGCGTTTAATGCGATTGCGAATATTAATGAGAACGGAACGATTGCGCGATTCTCCATCCGAGAGCGTTGCGGTGTGCGGTCTTTCACAAATCGGTGAAAATCGACGCACTGACGATTATAATCCTAGCGCGATCCGCTTCCGGCGAGATTCATGTAAATTTCACGAAGATTTCCGAGAGAATATTTCGCGCGATGGTGTCCGCCGCGAGAAAATCCGGCCGTCGCAGCCGGATAATTCGCTGATGGCTAATGGCTGTCCAATCGGAGCGGCGGCGGTGCAACGCGAATTTAATTCGGTGTACCCGGGATATCGTCGTCGACGATATATAACGCCGCCGTCCATATCGGCCCACTACTTCTAAAGAGCATGCCAATGAAAAAAAGAGAAGTAAATTAATAAACGCAACGGGTCTATTTCCCGCGCGGAAAATGACTTGATTCGTATGTCGAACCTCGCATGTAAAAACATATATCAATTATATAAATAAAAAATATATATCAATATCCTGTCAACTGATTCTACATATAATATGCACATACGAAAGTTTATATGTATAAATTTTATATATATATATATATATATATATACACATGTATCGAGATATATCGAAAGTATCAGGAAGTTTCAACAACTGTTGTTTGTCACGCTCGAGTTCGTATTAGAATAAGTAAAATAAAATAACAAATAATACAATGAGTAAAAATGCTAACGGCATTTTACTTTTGTAGACGGGATTAACGTAACGAGTTCGGAGAGAGGAAGACCTTTCTCTTTTTAAACACCGAGTTTTTCGTTTTTTGTTTTTTTACAGATCAACCAGCGGAATAACGGCTGAAGGAGAATCACAGAAGAAGAGGAAATTCGTCTCTTACTTAAGGTTTTAATTATTTTTTATAAAAATAAAACATTGTGTCGAACAAAGGTGTGATAAGTAAGTAAACGGCCGATAAAAGCTGGTTTTACAAAAAATAAAAGAACATATGAATCATTAGATCATACATTATAGACAGAAAAAGATTCGTTTTGTTCAATTGAAACAACAGTTAATACTTAAAAAATGGCAGACATATTTTTCACGAATGAAACGTAATAAACGACCACCGCGTGTACATACAATCTCTGTGTTCCTCGTCCATCGATACGGTGTTTGCAACCGAGACGTGAATAATATTGATCATCAAACACACGGCAAAGTGAAGCAAACAGATAAATGAAAATGAGGAACAATTGCTCGATCCAAATGGACGCGCGTTATTAAACGACATTGAAGTGCGGGATTTTATTTTCGGAACGACGCGCGCGCACGTGAACTACGCGCGTTTCCGGAACATATACGGTTTTTCAGCAGCGGAAGCTATTTCTCCTGTAATATTTGCAAGCTATATAATCTTTTTTTTCTCTCTCTCTCTCTCTCTCGGACAGTGCAAAAGGTCGCTTTTAAATATTTCCGGAGCAGAACTCGGACATGATACGCACACGCCACACATTTTTTGGGAGAAAACTCGTACATAAAGTGGACATTTTTCGCGAATTTTTCTTGGTCGTGAACTGCGGCCGTCGTCGTATACCCGTTGAAAATACTCACGACAGTTTCGCGCGCAAGTTCGTTTTATTGTGAAAAGATGGAAAGCGAGAGGAGGTTCCGCTGGAAAAATAAAGAGAGCGGACCCGCCCGCACGGATCTTGCGCGCGTGAAAAAGGAGACTCGGCGTGAAAGTGTCGATCGTTATCTTTCGCGTAGAAAATTTCAGAAGTCGCGCGAATTACCACGAAGTCAATTAAGACTTTGCACAACGGTCCGAGAAAATTCGGTAAAAATGCGAATAACGATATTCTCAACCGTAACACATCGGCAAACGAAATCGATAAACTATTCAAACAATAATGTCTAGTTCGACTTAATCTGTAAATGTTTACTGATTATTTAAAATGTTTTATATGTACAATTTTCTAGATTTTCTTTTGAGATAAAAATAGAATAGTATAGAATAGTCTACATATATATATATATATGTATATATGTATATACACACAATATGTATATAAACTTGAATATAAACTATATTATATAAAACTATATAAAAACTATATTATATAAACTATTCTTTATAAATCTTAAGTTATATACTTATTATATATAACAACTTATAGTTTATAAAAAATATAGTTGAGAAACTATATATACATAAGAGAGAGAACATTAATAAAGCAGCCGCAACACCTGTACGTCGGGCTTTGAAATTTTGATCAAGCGACTTATGACGTGCTCGACCGTTAGGCAACATCGAAGGGGCTGGCGTTTAATCCTAAGAAGCGTTATAAGCCGATTAGGTTCGTGGGAGAGAAAACAGAAAATTTCCGACTACTACATCGACCTCGCTCTTCAACGGTTGAACGCTGCCGGGAGTCCGAAACGGAAATATCTTTCGAAAAAGTGAATGTCACGAATACTCGAAAAAAACATTTGTCCCACTTTGCAAAAGTCGTCTATTAAATTAGAAAAGGTTACTAAAACTGGCTCTTCAATGTGAGAAGAGTCTAGTTCGACTTAAAAGAGAGAGAGAAAAAAAAGAATCGAGGCGTTTATTAAAAAAAAAAAATATATATATATATATATATATAATACATTATGTAAAATATATTGAAATATTTATTAGACTTACTCTTATCGTCCATCGGATAGTTTCGTCTGACACTCATTTCCTGATGATGAATCAGAGCGAGTGAGAGTTTCGGTGCCGCAGGCAACTACCTGTCTGGTCCGTATCTAAATTCCGTCCTTGAACTTCGTTTTCCTTGTCGCTTGAAGAGTCCACTCGCGTGAACTGCAACGCGTCGCGAAACACCGATGTGCAAAATCTAGTAAAATAAAAAATGATTGCAAAAATAACACGAACTGAAAAACAATAACTTCATATAAATGTATATATATGTATATCTCTCACAGAAGACAGGTTTTAAGATATTCACAAAAAAAATCACACGCGTTTTTAATTGCGCACAGTTTAAATCAAAGAACATATTACTGTTAAACAAAATTAATAGAAAAGCGAGCCGATNAACGAACGTTATGTTCGAACGAGTCGTTATATTCGATCCGATCGTGTCTTTTCCCTAGGAAGAACGAACAACAAATGCCTGTATCCAGCGCTTTGATGATTTTGGTAAACACCGTGCCCTGTACCGCACGCCCGATATTCACGCGTGACTCGCATGTCTCGCTTCGAAACTTCGCGAGACGGTTGATCATAGCGTTTCTGCCTTTACACACTTTTTCTTACAACTCAGGTTTTAAGATATTCACGAAAAAAATCACACGCGTTTTTAATTGCGCACAGTTTAAATCAAAGAACATATTACTGTTAAACAAAATTAATAGAAAAGCGAGCCGATCAACGAACGTTATGTTCGAACGAGTCGTTATATTCGATCCGATCGTGTCTTTTCCCTAGGAAGAACGAACAACAAATGCCTGTATCCAGCGCTTTGACGATTTTGGTAAACACCGTGCCCTGTACCGCACGCCTGATATTCACGCGTGACTCGCATGTCTCGCTTCGAAACTTCGCGAGACGGTTGATCATAGCGTTTCTGCCTTTACACAATTTTTCTTACAACTATATATTTACGTAATCGAATATTCCGTTACCGCTCGTATCGAAAGACAAGGAGCTAAAACTCGAGGCTACAATTGTACATTTTTTTTTAATTACACGTTTCGAAACACCGGTGTGTAGTTACCTTCGCGCTCTCTCAGATAATAACGTATATACAAAAACTCCTTGAGCGCAAAACGATCTTACAAAGTTTCTAATAAAGCAATGTGCTTTATAACCGAATTTAAAAGAGGCGAAAATAGTCGTATTTTTCATCACGGCAATAAAGACAGCGCAATAAAGAAACGTTGCAACGCGCGCGCGATGAATCAAGTAGACAAATAATTCTTTTGCAAAAACTACTGGCATATATTATAAGAAGTGCCTCGGTAGCGCAGTAGGCAGCAGTAGTCTCATAATTAAGATCGTGGTATGTATTATAAGATAATTACACATCACAATATAATATTGTATTTACATATATATCAATAGTATTATTGTTAATATGAAAATAGTACACAAATTATTTTTCAGTACCTTTCACAAGAAGCACAGAATAAAATGTATAATTATGTCATAGAGACAAAAACTCTCGTTAACATTTATATAACTGTTTTCGAAATATACACACATATATATATATATATATATATGTACTTACTCTCGAATCATCATCATACTCTCTACAATATACATACTCTCTCTGGTTCGAAATTAAAGCAAACGGATATTCGATAGTTTATTTAAACCGAAGTATATTTGATTAACGATCGGAAATAAAACAAAGAATCAAGTTTCGCGCTCGATTTGTTGCGCGTTTTTTGTTTTTGTTTTTTTTTTAAACACAAAGGGAGCAGCAGCAGTAGCAACGCATTCGCGACGCAAGTCGAAAGTATCAAACAACGTTGAATGTAAAAGAGAACTTTAATATACAACGCGTTCCGTGTGTCTTTTATGAAACGTCGGAGAAAGTCGTCGGTAAAATATTTTCCTCGCGCGTAGGTCGTGTGGAAGTGACGGCGGCCGGCGGAGCACGACGGAGGGTAAAAATTTGATGCAACCTCGCCTAGGGTTACACGTGAGAAGTCGCGCTCGAAACAAAAGCGACGTGACGTAAACAATTGCGAGCGCGTGCCGATCCCGCGCTCCACGGAGATGCATTGTATCATGACAATGAAAGCGAAATTGTAATGATCGCGCATACACGCACACACACGCGCGCGCGCGCGCGCACACGGTCGCGCACAGAATCGCCCGCTGAGAAAACAAGTTAAAAATAACAGGAGAATCTTTGTTCTTGAAATAAATTGTCGAAATGTCGACCGCTTTCAACTACAAATTCGGAAAATTTTGTGATCTCTGTGTGTAAAGTCTCAGAACAAAAAAGTTGAACCAACATTTAAATTAGCAAGTATTGTGTTTGAGAAACGCCGTGACTTGATAGCCTTTCAATTATGTAACTCGAAGTAACCGAAAGATCTGCCGATATAAGTAAAAATATTGCCCATTGTGTGACGAATTTATAAAACCGCGTAGAAGTTTTCGAGCGATCGCGTAATAAGAAGTAGACCGTTTAGATGGCGACCGACAGGTGATTGCGGCCACGAAAAAAAATTTCTACGTAAGGAAAAGAAGATGAGCAGAAATAGTTTTGGTCGTGAACAAACAAAGGAGCTTGCTAGAGTTCATTCAAAAAAACATTACAAACAAAACAAGATACAACAAATAAATTTACTTAAAAATAACAAAGAGAGCGTATTCTCTAAGAAATGAATATACGCATTGCATTCTTAACATTCCAAAGAACGTTTGTGCAGATTTTCAGCCGCTTGTGTTTGCATTGAGACGAGAAATAAACAATTGTTTATCATCCGGAGGAAGAGGAAAGATACTAGAAGTTCAACAGAGCGATGTCAGGCCTCATTGTTTCGCGACTTCGCGCTCTTTGTCTTTTCCGCGACGGTGAGAGGATTGTCGGAAGACGGACGGGGGGAAAGCAAACGGAGCACGGTCTCACGTGTCTTTCCCGGCGACACTCGCAACTTGCCAGGGTTCGGCCGGGCGCGAGACCCGGTTGTCACGGTTCATGCAAAAGAGCATGAACGATGAAATGGCAAGAATGCATTTTCGTAACGATCTTCTTCATTAAAACACATCTCGCTTGTTCAAATATAAATTCAGAAAAAGCAATAACGAGATGTTTCTCGTACGTGCCACTTTTTCCCGCACGCAATCAATTATTACAAATTCGACCGTCACCGACATTTCGAGAGACGTAATATAAAACCGGCTCGTCTTGACGCTCTCGTTCATCGGTCTTCATGGAGGATCGGCCGGCCGTGAGCGCCCGACTATCTCCTCCCTTCTCTTCACGGCGAAAGGCGACCACGAAAGACCAGGCAAAAGCAAAAGTCAACGTACGTACGGTATAACGCTTGGTTCCGCTTCGAGGCGGCGGAGGATACTACCGACGGTGTGCCATCGAAAGGAGTCAGTTTCCGCGTGGTCTTCGGCGCCGTCGGTCACGTCAAGTGTTTGTTTGTTCCTAATAAACGTGTGTGTCTATCCGTGTGATAGAATATTATACTAAGACACGTAGCAACGCAACGCGGTGGGAAACTCAACCACGAGAGATGCGCTCGCACCCCGACGCTCGTCGCGCCCAAGTCGCGCTGCTCTCGTTCGGTGAGTAAACGTGCGATTCTCGCGCGCAATTCAACGAATTACTTGCCGGAAGTTGGTGCGTGCACGCGACAAGTGCGATAAGTATCTCTCTCTCCGTGCGTTCGCCGACGCGGACGTGAAAGTCCAGTTGTTGTCGACGCGCCAATTCAACCATCGTCTCTCTTTCGAAGAAAGACGCGACACACGGCGGTTTGTATGTAAATAAAAAAAAAAAAAAATTTAATATAAATTTCTGCCTCGTCAGTGAACGAGCGAAGTCTCTTAGGAGAGAATCTCGGCGAGGAGGGAAAAATTGACAACTCAATCGACGAAGCGATCGAGACTTAGATTTACGTTCTACTTGCTTATAGCCCTTTCAACGCGTTATCCATCTCGCTCTTTATCCGCTCTCTCTCGCTCTCTTTCTCTCTTCCTGCTTTTCGAAGCAATCAAGAGGAGTCTCCATACCGCATACACTTCAATGCGCCTCCTCGTCAATCGAATGACGGATTCTAGTGCGTTTGAGATATAATAATACGTCTATTGATCCGTCGCTTGTGTCACGATTGAAGCACGTACGTGTGAGAATTGACGGAAGTCTATGGGAATTCTCAGCGCCCATACTGAATGTGTGCCCCCTTGGCTTGGTATCACACTTTCCATTACTTTCAAGTGTCGCGTGAGAAATAAACATGTCAATTACAAGAGTCAAGTGTTTTCAAGTATTCTTCTTACATAAAATTTTACCACAAGTTTGCTCATGCTGTGTGTGTGTGTGTGTGTGTGCGTGCGCGCGTATACGAGAAATAATTGATAAGTATCCGAAATGACGCAGAGACGTAGCGACGATAGTTCATGCTGTCAAAAAAAATCAATGAGAGCGTCTACTTTGACGAGCTGTCACACAATCAGCGTTTGACATTTGTTCTTCTGAAAGATGAAACTTGTCAACGCGAAAAAAAACGTGATGCTACTTGTCGCTATCTATGCGTCATTTCGGATACTTGTCAGTTCGTATATCTATGTGCGCGCGCGCGTAAAACAAGAAAACAAAACACCGCGCGCAAACATTATTTTGCATTCCCGAATTCATAAAAATCAACGGATCATGGTCGGCGCGGTTGCATTTACGAGGTATAAAATTCTGAAAAAGCGCCTGAATTATGCGAAGGATCCGCGCGTGTTTCCCGCGTTGAATAACGAAAAAAAAAATAAAAAAATAAAAAACCGAAACAAAAAAACGTCGGTGTTTTCCGTCAAATAACAGGTTCTATGTACTTTTCCTGTGTGAAATCCGCGCTTAATTGGCAGTGCGCGCAACTCTTGCACTTTGTTTGCCCATTCCTGCGATCTAGCACCAGCTGCGTAAACATATTCGCGCGGCGCGGTTCGTAAATGTCTGGGGATACACCCCGCGCGCGTACGTGCCCCCGCGGACTCGACCGAGAAACGGCCGTAAAAGTACATCGCTGCCGCTTCGAAATTATAGCAATCCGCTGATATACGAGGCCGTCCTTGCAACGATCCACTAAACAGAACCGTAGACGGTCGCGTTTCCTCCGCCTCTTCCGTATCGAACGTGGTGAAAACACCACGCCGGGGTGTTACGTTTCGTTAATGTCCGCGTCGCGCGAAACAGATTCGCCGGACACGGTTGATTGAAAAAAAAAAAAAAAGAAAAAAAAAACCAATTGATCGCGACTTGACTCGATACGTACGTTTAGAAAGAGCGCTTGAAATGCGATTATTTATCTCTTATTCGGGAAATGATTTATTCAGCGCCAATCTGTGGATCTCGGCAAGAACCTTCTTGCAAGAAAAAGAGAGGTTTCGTGATTCGCCCATTCTCTTCGTTTGCATTCTCCGTCCGGACATGCAAATTACGCGCGATTAATCCGGACGTCCGGGAGTGGTTTTCGCAAAAACCATCGGTTGGGTGTAGAGGGAGGAAGTTAGGATGGTGATGAGATTTCGGATTCGACGCGGTGTATACGACGCGCTTGCTCTCCTTTTTCGCCCGTGTCGTCACGGAAAGACAAACAACCGAGGAGAAGAGGGGGTGAATGTCTGTCTGATCGATCTCGGCTTGGCCGAAACCCGGGTTTCCGAGTTAATTGCGCGCTCTAACACCTGTTAATGGAACTGGCAATGTGGCTGTCAGGTATTTTGTGCCCGCGAGGTAAGCAGAGTCGTTCGCGCAGCACGGAGGTGGTTGCTGCAGACGGCGGTGTCAGGACGCGCGCGAGCGAGAGAGAAAGACGTAGAATTCGGGGAATGGGAGAAACAACGGGGTGCGCACGACAGAGCGCGAGCTCAAGAGGAGAAACGGTTGGGAGGGAAAGAGAGAGGAGAGAAACTTGAATGAGAGAGGGATGAAACGAGAGACGTGTAGCGGAGGGGAGACAAAGAAAGAGAGAAGAGGAGATAGTTGATGCAGGTTGGCGAGTTGCAATCTGTTTCCGATGGCTGCCGTACCGAGCTCTGTGGTTACCACTTTACAGTCCCACCCTCTTCCCCGCTTGTAAAACCATACTCTACCCCTTCTCGTTGCGCTCCTCGTGTCTCTCACTATCTATCTATCAACGTCAGGGCAACCTCATCTGCTTGCCTGTCCGCAGAACATTAACCGAACTCAACGTTTGGTTTCCATTTATAATTTCGATTGATGTTTCGACCGATTTGCAGATGATAAGCGCGTGTAAGCGAGCGGCTGTCGATCGAAAGACAAAAGATGATTTTTGGATAAACAAAAAAAAATTAAAAAATAATAAAACCGTCGATAGAAAAGAGAAGTTGTAAATCGTTTTCACGTAACCTTGAAGAGCCGCAGAATATCCCGACTTGGAAAGGTTATATCTCTCCCGGCTGACGACATCAGGCATCGTCGTGTTCGCCGCCGTCGGCGACGCCGATGCTTAACATTCGGTGACACACGACGATGCTGGTCGTCGTCGTCGTCGTCGTCGTCGGAACACCACGGGGAAATCAACCGTCCTCCTCTTTTATTTGCATAAAATGATGGGAGTGACCACGTCACGTTCGAAATGTTGGCGTCTCGCGCTGATTTATCCCTACGAATTTCATTTATTTTCCCGATGCATTTTCTCTTTCTCCCTCTCTTTTGGCGACGCACTACGATTTCGCGGAAACAACAAACGTCAGAGGTGGATTGTTAAGTCGGGCGCGAAGAAATTTTCGCCGAGAGGGAAAAACCCCGCCTCCCTTTCTTTACAGCGGAATCGCGGAAAAACGAATCTATAGTACTACAAGGAAGAGCAAGAAACGTAATTGCGACTAAAGACAAAGAATCAAGTAACTCGAAAGAGTCTCAAGTGTACAAAAACACTTCTCATTTTAAATCTGTCTCGGTGTTGTGCGGAGAATCGGTTCTCGAGAACTCGCGGACGCGCGTGTGACCACGTGTCTTGTGCAATTTTTCACAGATTTCTTAAATTATCAATTTTTTGCAACGAGTAGAATTCGCGAAGGTCAATAATGACTCCAAGAGTCTGTGGGGAGACCAACGTTTATTAGATATTCAATTCCGCGATTAAATATCAATTGCGCGCGCACGTTTACGAATCCATCGTTGATGCAGGTAAATTTCATCGCCGATGCAGGGAGAACGCACCCCGGCCGGGTTTCGAGCATAATATTTCGGATAAAGGATATCGCGTGTCATAAAGCGCGATGTAGTCATCAAACGGGGAGGGTGTGACGACGTCGGGCGCTCTCTTCCCATTGGAAATACGCGGACGGGCAAAACAAGCGAAGAACAGCGGGGAACGATGCGCGCGCGCGCGCGCGCGGAAAAGAATAAGAGCCGGCGGTTTCCGAGAGACGACGGTGAATAGCGCGAACGGTTGCAGTGATGGCGTTTTCGCCGCTATTTGCCCGCTACCGAGTGGCCGACATCCCGCATATATAGCAAGCGAGCAAGCGCCGCGCGCCTTCTTTACGAGCCGCGGTAAAATTTTCTACAAAGTTATGAATTCGGCGCGTCGTTCCGATGAAAGCGCGTATATTTGTCGACGAGCGAGGGTCGGATGCAACAGCAGATCCGCGATGATCGAGAACTTGAACCGAGATATCTCGTTCCCAGCGAATTACGATCGGTCGCAGGAGACGGGCAAAGAGATGCGGTCCGAATGAGTTGCTATATAATACGAAACAATTTCGCGTCTTCTTGCAGTCTCGATCGTACAGTGGGATCGATCGAAAGTCTTCTCCGATCGACCAACCAGCTGATCGTACACTTTATATTTATTGATACGTCTAATCTTGGCTCAACCGATCGCTAAACTTCTCAATTTTTTAAAATTTGACACATTGACGATATTTCAAAACCGCAATCTTATTACGCCAATAGCGAATTTTCAGCAGTGTTTTTAACCAATAGCGTAAATTTGAGAAACGAACGTTTTGTGAGAAAATACAAAAATCGAAAAAAATGTCTCTGAGGAAAGACGATGCGTTTTGCGAACAATAGTAAAAACCATAAACAAGTAAAAAGCAAGTAAAAAATTGAGATTGACATTATCATACTTTTAATGATAATTTAATCGTATGTGAAATTCTCACGAACAAAAAAAAAAAAGACGCTACTATTATGACGGCTCAAGAATGTCAGAGCGCAAAAAGAATTAGAGGGACTCTCGCAGATACGAGCGCACGTCAAATGAAGAATGAGATTTACATATAATGAGAAAGAGCAAGAACGATAGAGAGCGAAAAAAAAAAAGACAGACAGGAATAAAGGGGATAAGAGAGAGGGAAGAAAAGGGGAGGCGAAGAAGAGGTGACGAGAGGGATACATATGCGGTGTGTGTACGCGCTACAACTCCCGCGATGGATTCGTATATGTATCGTACATAGAACATACATAGAATACGGGGGGTACATGACGCTGGGGCGCAGCCACCAGGTTTTGTGGATATATACGGATTGCAGGTAGCAATTAAGTTTTACGAGCGCGCATCCTGGGTGAGACGCCTGTTTCGAACGCGTTGAGTGCCAGTCGTAAAGCCAGAGATGCGAGAGGGGTAGTAACTGCAACGGCAGCGCCGCGGCCAGTTTATCCCTTTTCCCTTTTACAACGCGCGGAATAGACGGGCGCGTCTGGGGCGGAGGAATCGGGGTGCGCTCCGGAAATTGATGGAAATACGGTCGATTTTAATCATCGACGCGAACGACAAAATAAAAATGGTCACAAAGTAAAAAAACAAACTTTTTTCAATGAATGTAATTGTCCGGTGAAAATCTTAAGTGAATATACGATTTTTGAAATTTACACTCAAACTTCTTCTGTTCAGAGAATAATCGCCCGTCGACAAAGCAGAGTACACTTGTAGCAAGAGACAAGACGCAGAGCGCAAAATGCGGAACGTTTGACTGACACGTTTGAGCGTCTTCTTCTATAAATTTCGACCGTTAAGCTATTGAAAATCTTTCGAGTTCTCGAATTTACGGAAACTTGTGCGTTTCGAAAAAGTAGCCGAGGATCGTTCGCCGACAAACGAAGATTCGGGAGCAAGAGATGAAAAAACGCGCGCAAGGGCAGCGTAAGACAATATTCGATTGATTCGCGGTACAAAGTTTTACTCTATTATTCATTACTCGAGAATAAAAAGAAGAAGTGGAAGACTGGCGGCTAGCCCGTAGCCATCTACCTGTTGCACAGGAGGCGCAGAATCGCTCGTCGGCGCGAAACACCGTTCAAGAGATCGTTCTGAGAGGAAAAGATGTAGCGAGGGGATAGGACAATGTGAAAGACGCTACGTCTTAGGGATAGTTTTCCCCCCAATAACATTCAGAATAGAGGGCGAGAGAAAAACGTGCGCAAACTCGTATCATGAGAAAAACGCCGAATATTTTTTTCAATATTTTATTGTCGCTGAAAGATTTCAAAGACAAGTAGAAAAAAAAAAAAAAGAACCGTGATACGATTGCGGCAAACATGAAGAGTGTAATTTTTTCGATTTTCGATTTTTGTCGCGAAACTTTCTCCGTAGCGGATAGAAACGTGAGATACTCAATATTGTTGCCGAGAGAGACGTCGATGGCCTATATAATTCGAGGAAAATTTAAATGACTCTAAACGACTCGTCACTCGCCGAACCGTTCGTAAAACGTCGTCGTAAAATCGAACGGATTGCCTTCGCTGATGAATTTACAGCTTTGGCAAAGAGGAATCGCGTGAATAGATTCCGGGAAGAGAGTCGAAGGAGAAAAGTACTGCCGTTAATGACGGGTGACGTTGAAAAAAAGAAGACAAATACGTGCGCGCGCAGGTGCTCAACTGTGTCCGCGGGATGCGGTTTTGTTAATTTTCATTTGCACGCCTTTCGGACTCGCATTGTGCGTCGGACACAATCGAACGAAATCAATTGATTCGGAGGGGAAAGGAGAAACGCGCCGCGTATTTCCCCTCGAGGATCGCACCGCATTCAAAGACTGGCTCGGCGTACCGTTACAAATGCAGCGGCCCCAAAGAATGATAATAGGCCGCGTGTATCGTTAATGAACTCACCGAATGGCTATGTACACACGTTTGTATCGTTTATATGCGATATAAATCGCGAAACGGGGGAGAAATGCGAGAACGTCTCTGCAGGCTGCAACGTTAAATTCGTTAACTCGAAACTGTTTGAAAATCTTCGTGTTTGTGTCGCGCGGCACAAAGGAAACGTTTCAATAAACGTCGCGGCGCTTCCGGGAGGGAATTTGCGATGACCGGCAGGATTTCATCGCGTTGATGAAAATACGCGATGAAATACATGTCCAGTATTGCAGTTTGTTGTCGCAAAAAAAAAAAAAAAAAAATTCTCTCTAGCATTGAAATTTCAGCAAAATTTGTTTCAAACAATCGCATAAATACATACAACGTATTATTATTTTCAAAATATATATATCAAAATATATATATCAAAATATATATATATCAAATATATATATAAACAAAACAAAGATACAAGAGATTCGCGTTTGCGTCTTGCGAAATTTTACACAATTCATCGAGTTTTGACAGTTTTAACAATACGAACGTTATGAAAAATTCAAGTAAAATATAAGCTCGTTTATTTTAAAAAATTTTTATTAGTTCGAAATATATCTTATCGTTATCAGATTTTGACTCTATATTTTATTTTGCTGACGTATTTGAAAATGTGCCTCGACATTTATGACCGCGCATACAAGTAACGCAACGCGTATAATTTCGCATTTTCCATGGTATCCGTAAACGGTTAGAAAAATCAACGACTCGTAATATTGTTTGAGCTCACCGAAACGTAGAATTGTTCACTGTATTCACCGCCGCAATTATTCAGATTTTCAGCCCGCTCGTTCATTTGGTCGGATAATTTCAACTATTCGGTCCAAGTATTCCGCAAATTTAAATCGATTCCGCGCATTCAAGTCTTATTGGCCGCGCTACGGATGAAAATTTTTCGCCGTAACATTTAATAACATAATAATAATAATAATAATAATAATACCAATAATAAAACGCGGCAAACAAAAGAGAGATATTTGTATTATTCGGCTCTTTTGTGTAATTGATTTACTTTTTTTTTCCGACAAAATTGTTGACTTGAACGGTCATGTTGATTCGGGCGTTTCCGTTTTTGGAGGCAATTTTCCGCGCATGCACGCGCTTTCGTCAGTTTAATGCGAAACGTTTCATGGATATATTAGCGGGCATAATCGGTAGCCTAATAAACGCAAATACTAATCAGCTAACAGTGATTGTCTTTCATTATCGCGGTCGATATAATTATTTTCTCGAGGGAGAATCTGTGCGCGGTGAGGAGAGGGGGCGGAGGGAGAGAGAGAGAGAGAATAACCGAGAGGCACATAGGAGCGCAGTCATTCAGATAATACCTATTTAATTAACAGTATACATCATCAAGCCGGGCAGATATCGCTCTTTCCAGGAATCGAATTAAATTTGCGGCGAGCCCGTATAAATCGTATTAAGCTCTTTGCGGATCCGCCGCCATTTTCCATCCCGGCGAGTATTTCCAATTCGTATCTACGGCACACGCCTTGCTCTCTTAACCCTTCCTGATCACGCTGTGCCTCGACAGTTCCACTCCGTCGATCCTTTGACCCGCCGAGCAAACCATGACACCGTCCCTCGTCTGCCGGAATGCTTTGAAAGTCATCTCCATAGCGCGCTCGCTAAAGAACTTGCGCTATACAGAGGCGCTATATAGAACGGAGATAGTTTTATCACACTTTGATGGCAAGAGGACGACCCTCGATCAACGCGAAAATAATTTTACAGAATTTGCCTTAAAATTAAATTTATTCACATAGCTTGAAATTTCACTTTGTCTATTTACGTTGTTCTTAATTGATACACACAAATCTGATTGGCAATATTTATTTGCTGGCAAATGTTCTCTCAAACATTCGAATGAGATGGATGTTACACGAGATATGTAATATCATGTGCGAATTCTCTCGGGAAGAGATTCTCGACGTAGAAAACGAGATTTTTTTTCGGACGTAACTCGACATCTTGAGGCGCGTGCAAAATCCGACATCTCTTTATGTGTTTTATACGAAGAAAATGCATTTCGCGGGACGGAGTTGCGTCGCTGCTTTGAAAATTTTCAAGACGAGCGCCTCTCCCCGTGTACACGCGCGCCCAGCAAATTTTTCAATCACGTTTCGCGCTGACAGGATTAATAAAGCGCGCGTCCGCAACGCACGAGAAGAGTTTCAAGACTCATTTCATGCAGAATCGAATTGGATTTCCAGGTCGGGTGTGTATGTGTGTGTGTATATATGTATATATAACTGTAACCCGCAACGGAGATAGAGGGATAGAGAAAGAGAAACACGCGGAGAGAGAGAGAGAAAGAGAGAGAGAAAGAGAGAGATAGATATATAAAGAGAGAAATACGAGCTGGATCGTACATCCCTTTGATGTGCGCCGTCGGCTCGAAGCACCGCCGCGCCCGATGCTCTTTTAGCGGGCGGAACGCGCCGCGCTTTGTTACATCGACGCTAAATAATCGGTTTATAAAAATTCATGGCGAGTCTAGTGAGGCGGGGTTTTATATCCGGCATCACACTCGGACTGCATTTCTCTCCGCCACTTCACGCGCCCGTATCTTCCCTTTCCCCTCTCTTTGCGCCCGCAATATCACCAGCGAGACGATATGACGAGAGCCCGCAAATTAAAAAAAAAAAAAAAAAAGGAAAAAAAAAGAGAAATGAGAGAGTTATTACGCAAAGTCGGAAGGAAATATCTATTCGCGACCGAAAGATAAAAATTGTGTAAATGCGCGCGAAAATTAAACATTCTTTTGCAAAAACAATCGGAGCGACAAATTTTAATTATTTAAGCCACTACTTTCGGCCCAATTATCTCGAACGACGCTTCCAATCCCCTGTTTGCCGCTCGGATTAGCGCTAGATTAATGCACCTGTCTGTACACGTACATATCAGCCATATTCTCCGGCCGAACTCAACCTTCACCTTTCGCACCGCCCACAATTCGTCTTTGTCGAGGGCGTTTCAGACGTGCCGTGTTATCTCTCATTCTCTTTCACACATACACACACGCTCGTTCGTGCGATTGCAAAACGCGCGTGTTGAGAAAATAGCGCGCAACACGAGCGCGCAATTCCAAATGAGTTTTCACGTTTATATTTCAATTTTTGATTGAAGAAAGTGAGAGAGAAAGAGAAAAGCTAATCTAATTTGCGATGTTTTCTCGTCGGAATATTTCATATCGCGATAAATTTATAAACAAAGCGAATAAAAAAAAAACATAATAATAATAATGTTTACTTTTTCAGTCGCAGTTTTCCTGATGCAAAGCCTCATCGTGGCGTCGATCGAGCCGAACGTGACCGGCGACATAGCGGAGGACGACATGGAGGAACTGCTGACGAATATGAACCTCACGACGTTCAAGGAAAGATACCGGAGATTGATACCGTACGTCAACTTTTTCGTGGCTAACAATTACTTGCAAAACCAGGCGGTGCTCGCGCAGAACTACGCGAAGGAACTTCAGGATAACGACCTGCCGCAGCAACAAGCTGCTCTGTTATCGCGAGCGAACGGTAACATCTACCGTGTCACCTCGCCCGGTCAGGATAAGAAATTCATCCCCTCCGTGCAGTTCGATCCGAGAAACATCGGCGGTGATAACGACTACTTCGCGCCGGTCAAATACAACGCTAGGATCAATTACGAGGATTATTCCACCCCGTCTTATCAGATCTATCAACTGCGTAAAACATACCCCGAGATTACCACCGCCAGCCCGATCCCGCTCAAGGAGAATCGATATTATATTCCCGCAAGACCGTTGCTGCGACCGTCCGCGAGCGTGAGAGAACATCTGATCCAAAAACCGTCAGTCGGCAACTCTCAGATAGACTACAACCATCAGGATTATACGAAAACAAAGCTGCTCGCAGCTGTCAATTATCCAAATAAGGGATTCGAAGGGCTCAGATATATCCCGGCGCCTGCGGTGCACTCGAGCGCGCAGCAACAACAATCGATGAAACCGTCGACCGTATCGCAGAACTACCGAAAGCCGAATGTGAATCTGAATAGCTTGATCGAGAGCTTCAAGCTGTCCGAGCGGCTGCCGGAACGCCTGAACAAAAACAACCTCGACAGCAGCGTACAAACGCTCGTGGAGATTCTCAAAATCTTGCACAATTCGCGACAGGAAAACTTTCCGCAAAGGGGACCGCAATTACCGCCGCCCGTCGCGTCGTCCAGATTAACTGGCCACGTCGACTTCAACAAACCTAAAACGCGACCGAAGGTGATCACCGAGACGAGATTTCAGCTGACCCCGAGTCCTTTGATAATTACCGAGGATCCCGACCGATACAAGATGGACGATGACGTTCAGATCAAGAGACCACCGCAATCCGATTACGTTGCAAATCACGTGAAGAACGAAAAGGTGCACTACTACATTCCTTACGTTCAGGATATTTCGAGTAATCCCCAGCAGCACTTCGGACCGACCTCCGTGCCCGACAAATCCGTCGAAAACTCGTACGAGGTTACTCAGGAAGACGATATCCTGCAAGACGAACAATATATCCCGCCCATCTCGACCGAAGCGTCCACGAGTCACGAATACGCGGCGCCGAACGAACTCACGCGTCCCGAAAAAAAACCAAAACCATCCGTGAAGTACGGCGCGACACGTGGAAAACCTCACGTGGACTATCCCGCGTACGCGATCATACCGGAAACCAATTTCAGTTGCAAAGATCAAAGGTACAAGGGATTCTTCGGCGATCCGTCAACCGGATGTCAAGTAAGTAACAAAATTTACTTTGCACGCGCTCCTTCTTTTGATTTTGTTCTGCAATTGATTTCGTAATTTTATTTTTATTCTATAGATAATAAAAAATCTTGAATTTATTCATTTAAGCTTGTTTTATTTAAGCTTATTATGTTTATTCTTTTTTTTTTTTTTTAATTTCGTTATTTCATCAGGTGTGGCACTACTGCGATCTAAACGGTGGCAAATCGTCATTTTTATGCCCAAACGGCACGATATTCAGCCAGATAGCGCTAACTTGCGATTGGTGGTTCAACGTCAAATGCGAAACAACCACTCAGCTGTATGTGCTGAACGAACGGCTGTACAAATACATCTTACCAATTATGCCGAAATTTCCCGAGGACTTTACCGGACCGGAAGTGGATCGATACTTGGAACTCAAGTTTAAAGAGATGGAGGCAAAACTAAAGGAAAAGAAACTGAAGAAACAGCAGGAGGACAAAGATAAACATAAAGGCAAGCCTCAGACAACGGACGACGACCACGACCACGACCACGACGACGACGACGACGACGAATAGTAAAAATTGTTTGCGCTATTAGACAATAATGAATAAAATATTTAAACTTAACGTATGATGTGTACCATGCGCGACTTGTTGCCATCACAATGTACGAATTATCTCGCGGAAACGAAAATCGTCGGCAGGTTTTGCCACCGAACCTTGCGACGCGCGGAGTCATACATAAAAGTGCAATATTTACATGATAGTATTGCGTAATTCTAATGATAGGGAAAAAACACATTTATATGACGCGTAAAGTAAGTTAAATTATATATATATATACATATTATATCACAGTCTGTGCATACGGGTATAAAATGGCTGATGAGATTTTAGTATTTACGTCTCTCTCCCTGCTAGTCATACATGTTTGTGTGTTTATACATCGTGCTTGTGGGAAAAATCAACGAATTGTTTAGCCATGTATCCATAAATAAAAATTCAACTAGAAATTACTTTGCGTATATATAAACTATTAAAAAAAAAAAATGTACTTTGAAACATCAAAATAACTACGTATTTGCGCTACGACAGAGCAACAAACGATCTATACATTGTTTTCTACGTGTACCTAATACTTTGTTGAAGTGTTATCGCACATTTATTTATATGTATATAAACGTACGTCGCGTTGTAAACTGTTTCGCCATTTGTCTGACAATAAGCAACATATTCCGATAAATATATATGTGTTAATATATTTATATAAATTTGTATCTTTTATATTTAAATATAATTTTTAATTGCAAATACACACAAAATGCGATTATTATTATATCCTCTAATAAATGTAACGTCTTAACGTACAAACGTCTAGAAATTTAAATTTATTTGAAATTTCTGTATAGTGTTTCGTAAATCAAGGTCAATCGCTCGAAAGCGATGATTGAGTACCTGAAAACAAGAGAAAAAATGATATAAACATACGTCCGAAAATGTTGTTTTCGAGTTACTGCTGATTTTAAAATTAATTTCCGGACGTATATTCATATTTTGTTTCTTGTTTTTGGATCCCCAATCACCTTTCAAGCGATTGACCTCGACTTATGAGACTCTGTATATTTTCAACTCATAATTTTCTACTTCAAAAAACAATAAGTAATGTTAATCATATTAAATAAGTAATGTTAATTATATTAAATAATCTTTTGAAGAAATTAAAATTATCTCAGTAATTTTTGTTCAATGTATGTAATTATAGTTTTGGTTATTATACTAATAGACACTTGTATAACAAATTGAAGTTACGTTCTAAACACACACGTTTGACTATAATTTAATTATTACTTTATCATTTTTGAAGAAAAAATTCTCAAAACTATTTCAAACACAAAAAAAAACCAAACAATTACTCACCTTCGCGTTTAGATCCAAGAAAATATGAAACATTCGGGCACGACGTGACTGTGAAGTTTTGTTTTTCACGTATTTACATTAGTTTTCATCCCAACCTTCCTAGCAACCTTTCTCATAACACTCATTTCCACCGGCTGTTTCCATTATCCTGTAAAGTCGTAAGTCTCGAAATAATCGACGTGATATTTTCAAAATATTATAAATTTACGCGAGCGTTGCGAGCCGGAATGATTCAATAACAAAAACAGAAACAAGAAAACAAATTCTTACCTTGCGCGTATCACGGCAACTTCGACGTGTCAACTGCGATCACGCACACGATAACACTGTTACATACGATGGTCGGCGATGTAATGTTCGGAGATTGCCAAATCTAGAGTTTTCCGTCTGTAAGATCAATACTTAAATTTCCCCTCCATTCTCTCTTATTCCGCGTGTTCGGCGTATCAGACCCGGGTGGCCATCTTGTCAGCGATAAGAAACAGCCGAATACACATATGGTTCAACCGGCTCTTCGCGCGCATTTTACGTCTTCGATCACGTCGCGATCGCAGATGTCGCGACCACGTTTGTGCGTCAATGTGATTGGTTCCTCAATCCGCGTCGTGACGCGAGAACCAATCGTGTCGATTCAATCGAGTGAATTCAGCCAATCGCTTAACACAACACCAGATGGCGTTCGAAGCAACACAGGTGGTGATACGACCATCTATCGTATTTGTGTTCGCAGCGCTCTTGGTGTCCTGGATCGTCTCAGCTCGAGAATAGAAAATCATAAGATCCGGCGTACAATAGAACAAAATATTAATAGAAATAAAAGTGAAATATTATATATAATATATATAATATTTTCTGTTTTATTTTTTTTCCTGTCACATGATTTTACTTTAATCACGGTTTTAAAGACACGTGACTAAAATACAGTCACGTATTGATTTTCCACTCTCCCTTTTTCTTTTATTTTTCGAGTTTGATTTTCATGCGTTATTTCTGACATCTCTTATATATACATCATGTGTATTATATGGTTTGTAAGACATATATACTAGCTATCATCACGGTGATAGGTTGTGTGTTTACTGGCACAACACTTTAAAATAAAAACAACAACAGCGTGCGCGTAGCGCGCGTCTGTGTTGTGCTAGTATTACAAATAAGAAATTGGAATTGTCTTTACAATAGAAAATAAAATAAATTATTAATGCATTATAAATTAAAAAATAAGAATTTGGAATAATTAATCTATTTCATTCTTTTTTCTGTTTAACGTAACATTATATTTTCAATTTCTTTTCCTAATACTTAATATTTATTCTTATTCCTAATATTTTCTCTTTGTGATCAGGGTTTAAGAAAAATTAATTATGCTATATCTTAATTTTCCGTTAATATTGACAAAAACCATGTATTGGATTATTTAGAAAGCTCGTTCGAAAGCGTTTTCTATGCGGCGGACCGCAATGGAAAGATGCCCGAGACATGTACACATTACATCGCACAAATACTAAAAGCAACAAACAACATCATATATATATATATATATGTATGAGCATTTACAAAAACTAAATTATGTTAATCGGTAAGTTAAATTTCATTTAAAAATAAACCGCTACGTACTTTCGATGTAGAATGTTTATAAAGTAAAACAATTGCTATATATTTTTTATCTGTTTTGCAATTTGAAAGAAATGCTTCATGAGATTACGTTACACAAAGAAATTACAATATTTTCTCTTTTATATTGTATATTTTTTATATCACGCGATAGTATATTTTACATATTACATTTATATACTTTACTTTGTTACATATTTTCACCTCAGATAAGATCGCTAGATAAGTCTATTTGCGTAGCGATGCCGTGTTAATGGGCCGTGCACGGGTGCATTAGAGAGAGAGAGCGAAAGCGTATTTGGTAACCGGACTTCTAATCGCATCCTTCAACTCTCGCGATATAACCGGGAGCGTTTCCCGGGGTTAGAGGCGAGCAAGAGGGGTGAGGGTGACAAACACGTGTCACGGATAGGCGGCATTCGTGAGCGAGATGGGCGACAGCCTTGAATGCGTCTCTTTCTTGTGCACGAGGCAGCCAGAGGTTGGAGCAGCGACGGCGAACTCCGCTCGAGGCGCGTGAGACTAGCTCGGGAGCTACAAGTGGTGATAAACGGCCGAATCCTCGTTATTACCCATTGGGGAGAATTCCCGCGGAATTCTGAACGCGCGCCGACTACTTGTCGCGCGCTGTTTTTTCCGACCTAGTGATCCCAATGGGGAACCCTCCTCTCCCGCGTTTCCTGAATACACGCGATTGTATAGTAGATAGTCGCGTTCTCTTGTTAACTTTGCCAAACACAAACAATATGTAAACAAAATATACTTCCCATGTTTCTGTTTACTCGCACAAAAATTGCGAAGACTTTTTAACGAGATTATAGAGGGACGTTTTTCTCGTTACGCGACGATTAAGTTTGTTTTTAATAAATTACAAAACAAAATACAATAATAAACACGAGGCAACTTTTGTCTTTACATCTGTCGAAAGTTCGTTGCAAATTTATTACGTGGTAATAAAGTAATAAGTAATCGAGAGAGTTTGTGAATGTAGATGCTAATTTGAACAACAAAGAAATACCATAACAAAAATCTCTCAAATCTTTATTATTGAGACGTTGTGACTTTGTTATTTGTTTTTCCATTTATCTAGTAATAGTTTTTTGTTTTACAGAAAGTTAACCGAATAACCGGACAAATGGAAAACATATGATAGATGTTCGCCGATCGCACAATAGTTATCATCGTCATGACACCTCATCGTTACTCACGGAAAGTTCTGAACGGAACCCGTGAACGTCGCAACGCGGGAAATCACGGACGACCCGAAACGCGTCGACGTGTCCTCGTAACTCGAGCCGCAGGGAATCGATTAATTTAGTTCGTGAGCTAGACACGCGTTGTGCCACGTACTTCCTGTTCCCTTCTCGAGCAAGAAAAAAGCATTTACATATTGTTGAACATTGTTATGTTAACATATACAACATATTGTTTTGCGTTGAATATACAAGATGATCTTTGATGACCTCTGATTATATCTTCGGTGAAGTTTGGGTCTATTATTCGATGCTGATTAAATCGTTCTTATGCCGGAGATATATTTGCGTTCAAATAACAAACGCTTGTGTGTGTGTGTGTGTGTGTTGCATAATTATTGAAACAACTGTCACGTCACGCTCTTGTCATTCACTGGCAATTAAAATTTTTATTTTTAACGCGAGTGTAACCGCGCGGCTTTCACGATCACCAATTTCACACAGAACTCGCACAATCAAGTGGAATTAAGTGATGACTATTAGTACTAGACTTTCCTTCATGAATAACAAATGGTATGAATAATTGATAAATCACGCCGGAGACGACATGATGAATGGAGTGTGTAAAAGTGCAAACGAAGTAAAATACCTATCCCGCTGTTTGGGTGCGCTCTTCCTTCCCATTTCTCGTTTAGTCATTTCAGCAATATACTCTCGATTTTCTTCTTTTTTTTTTTTTTTATTAAACGTATTATAAAAGCACGTAGAGCGCGCAGCAAGATCCACAAGGTTTTTAACTTTTTTTTTTCAGGGAAGTTGTTATATAGCGCGAGGCAAGATCCACAAAGCGCGAGGAATTAAATCTTTTTAAAAATAAAATCAGAAGCGCCCGGTAAAACGTCGGATAACTCATTGTATATACGGCACGATGTTCAGCTGGAGTAGGAAAGGAGGGTAGAGGAGAGAGTTGGAAGAATATTCTATACCCTGAAACTGTCGGATTTTAATATTCCGTCTTTTTTTTCCCCCCTCCGCACTTGTTTTAAACTTCCCGGATTTTCTCCCGATGTTTGAATCTCTCTCTCTCTCTCTTTCTCTCTCTTTCCGTTTATTGTCCTCCCCCGAATATATTGTCTGTGACTCGCGTTGTCGTAAATCAGTTTGATCCGAGATCGTTCCGACGTGGATACTTCGACGTCACGTCTTGAAAGTATACGAACGCGGTGAAGAAAGTGAGGGAAAAAAGAAAACGAAGAGAGAGATTCGACGCGACGCAGCGCGCGGAACGAACAAATAAATAAAAGCGAGAAGGTGGTACCAGCGATATATGACGTAAAGAGAAAAAGTACAGCTGTCATTGCCATTATCAATGTGTTGTCGTGTGGGTGCGTCATATAATGGGTATTGCCGCGAAACCGTACGAACGTCGCGTTAAAGTGCGAGAATCGAAGAAAAGGAATGCGTGTTCTCATGGAAACGCGAATAAGAAGGAAGAAACGCGATTGAGGACGGGTGGGTGGGAAAGGGAGTGAGAATATCCGCATGACAGAGTCAGCTAAGAACGTGGACGAGGAGAAGAGAGAAATAAAGAGAGCAAAAAGAATGAGAAGGAGAGACGGCAAATAAGCGGAAAAGGGTGTGTATGAGAGAGAAAGAGGGAGAATATTCGTGCAGCTATCGACCACGCGCTTACTTTGCCTTCTCGTTTCTCTCTCTTTCTCTCTCTTTCGTGTCTCGTTTCGTATCCTCCGGTCTTCGGAGTAGCTTTGCTCTCTCCCAAGTCTCCGGCAATCAAGAGAGCCGACATTCGCTATCCGGAGCCGGGACACGGGATCCCCCGCCTGTGAAGAGCCGGGAAGTCGCAATAAAATTGACGTCGAAAAAGAAAAGAGATAGAGTCGTTAATTTCCTCTCTAGCCGCCTCGCTCTGTCCCGAAGTCGGTTCTGTCTTCGTCATCCTTTCACGGGGGAAGGAAGGGAGGAAGGGGTGCAGGGTGCATATTGCAAACTGACTCGTATTCTCGTGACCCGAACCCTCCTTTCGTTCTCGCGTCGGAAACGACATTACACGCTTGACTTTACAGGTTGCCGCGCAACGAGAAGTCTTGGAATTGAACGGAGATACGCTACGTCGCGACTAATTCTTAATATTCTCGGTTTCTTTTCTTTGCTAACACAGAAATGCTTTTATGTGTATATACATATATATTACATTTAAATATTGGTCTATATATTTGGCTTATTAAATGTCTGAAAGTGTTGAATTAAAAATACAATTTAACAGCGAGAGAAAGGAAGTAATATATAATAACCAAAAGTTCCATCCCGCCTACGTTAAATTAAACAAACCGTCTCGTTTAACGGACTTAACACGCGTAGCGGCGACGTTTACCGTACATAGGCATTAATTATTACACGCTACAAACTTGCTAAAATAAGAAGCTGGCTATTTACGTTGTTTCGCGTTTACCCTCCCGCCGTTCCCGCCTCGTCGGATCCGTACTTCTAAGTACTTTCGCTAATTAACGGTCCGAAATCTTTAAATAGAAGATGAACTTGAAGATACAACACACACACACACACACACACAGTCACGTCACAGTCCGAGGAAAAGTAGATGTCGCATATTG